TGTTGAGAAGTTAGAGGGTTGACATGTTTTGGGGTTGTTAACCAATGTCATAAAACGTGTACTACTGTTTCATGAGAAACTATTTGTTCTGTAAGCCTTCGCCTGAAGTACAATAAAATATAAAAGAAAAAGAATAAAGAAAGAATTAATTATCCCATATAATCCTGTGACCCAGAGGTAATTGTTAGTAATGTGTAAAGAATATTAGTATTAGAATAGGACTGAGTGCCTTTCTTTTCATCATCTCCATAGCCACACATTCACAGGAGTGTGTGAAAATACCCCAAACCACCTTCCCATGTTGGCAGATGTTATTAGATATGATTGGAGTGGCTGCAGGATAGCCCTGGTTCTGACAAAGGACAGGATCCCTGACCCCAGCCAACCATGGTCAGGTTGAGCCAGGCCTGGCCAGGGTAAGGCTGTGAGTGGGGCTATAATGTCCTTGAGGGCCTGTGACTCCTCTTGTCCTAGCAGTAAAGGCCTCAGATGTGGGCATTCCTGTAGCGCCTGGAGGGACGAGGCTTGTCAGGAAAAGGGGAACTGTCTGAGAAGGAGGGAGCAGCTTCATCCAAAGCTATGTGAAAGAACATGGCCTTCTTTGGGGCTGTCATGCAGGTGAGGGGTGGGGCAGGAGGTGGGCTTAGCTGTGGGTGCCAAGGACTCAGGCATGCCGTGGACACCACAGAGCACTGCCTGGCCAGCTTTGTTCCTGTGAAAAACTGCTTTCCAGTCTGCCCCTACCATCAGCCTCTCACCCCTCTGGCAGCCCCTGCCCCTCCTTGCTCCTACTTCTCACATGCTTTGGGCTAAGAGAGGCCTGGTAACTGCCAGGAGAAGCATGGTTGGAGAAAGAGAACAGCTGGGGTCCTTTTTCTGGGAGACACCAGTTTGGGCCGCTCATTTGCTATTTGTGGCCACTGCTGTCCATTTCTGGCCCAGGTGTTTGTGCTAGATCACAGAGGATGCTAGGCATACCAGCTCCACAGCTGTGCATCCTGGTGTTTTCCCGAGAGGCTGGCATTGAGAACCCAGACCCTCACCTGGACCAGGGCTCTGTTGACGTGGGACTCTTTGAACAAGAAAATGTCATTTGTGCAGTTATTGAACCTTTCAACGGTGTGTCTGGCAGCTTTAAGGACTCCTGGGTCGTTGGTCTTTATTGTTTTGGGAAACCCTGGCTTCACACTTGAATTAAGGTTCTGGAGACAAAAATCTGAAAGAAACACAGAAGCAGAGAAGAGCATTGCTATTAATGAAGGCTCGGCTTAGATGTCCTGCCCCACAACTGGGGATGGTTGGTTTTCCTCTCTACTCCCAGTGTGGGCCCTGATCCCCCTTACCCCCAATGCATCTGTTCAACATCCCCAACATTTGCCCCATACTCAAGGCTGGGGGAGTGGAAAGGGGAGTACAGTTACGGACAAGACGTTCCTATGTTCCTGCCCTTGAGATGCTTTCAGGACTGGTGGTTATTCCCAGCATAGATGTTGAAAACTGAACACATCCCCCAAACAGTGGACACTCTGGACAGGACGCAGCCTTAGTGTGTCAGAAGTCAGCCCCAGCTTGGCCTTCAAGGCCAGCCACTCTCTGGCCTTGACCACCAACTGAATGGATCACACAGTAGTCCTCAGACTCCTGACCTGCCTTCTCACTTGTAAGTAGACTGGTGCTGTCGTCTGTGACTCAGCGACTGTCCTCTGTGTCCCTTCTCCTCGCCACCCCCCCTTGCCATTTGCCAGAATCCATGTCATGCCTGGTGTCCCTGTGTGCTCTCTCCTGAGTTATTTGGGGACAAGTCTTTTCACTCCTATGAATGACAAAAGCCCTTAGGGCAGGGCCCAGACCTGGTAAAGCTTTATCCCATGCAACTCCTACTACACAACCTCATACATGGTACATACTCAGTGGATAGATAGATGGGTGGGTGGGTGGGTGCATGTGTGGGTAGATAGGCATATTTGTGGATAAATGAGTGGATGGGTAGATAGATGGGTGGGTAGGTAGGTGGGTGCATGGTTGGGTAGATTGGTGGGTAGGTGGTGTTATGGATTGTCAAAGAATAAGAACACTTAAAAGCAAAGATTTATTGAGGGTAATACAACTTCTGAATTGGTGAAGCACAGGGCAGAGAGGAATCTACCAAGTGCTCCAAAGCATGGGGGGAGAGTGTGTTTTTATAGTAAAGATGGTGAAGGGGAGTGTATGATGATTACATGGTCACAATGTGGGTATGGCATTAGCTACCTTCTTCCAGGAACATCATGAGTAAACTTGTTCTCCTACAATTGCATTCCTGACCCCTACCCTTATTTACTAAGAGTAGCTAAACCACATTCCTGACCACCACCCTTATTTGCTAAGAGTGCCTTGGGGCAAGAGCCAGGCAGTTTAAACAAGATGATTGACAGGGGGCCAAGGTCTTCTGCTCCCATCCAGCCAGAGGCCCAAGACCATATGTATAGGAATAGGAAGAAGTCAAGGTTACATTCTCAGGAACGCAGAAGCAGGAGCTTGCAACAAAATGGAGTTCTAATTCAGAGCTCATGTCAGCCATTTTATTATGGCAAGTGCCTAAGTTTTAGAGGTTTGCTAGCACATTTCCCTTTTTTGTTCAAGCCTCCGCTAGGGGGCGCTGAGTACCCACAATGAGTTAACATTTCTTATGCAAAGACTTCTTGGGTATGTCGCAGGCCCAAGTATTGAGAATGCCAGACCTTAAGGTTGTTGGGCTAATTTTCTTCTTTACCTTGCCATATCAATAGGCTTCATCTTCAGGGTGAGTTGACTTTCATCAGGGTCCGTGCTGGAAAGGGGGCCTAATCTGAAGGAACAACTTAACATCAAAAATGCTAACTCAAGGTGGGAAATTACTCAATTTCTCCTGTAAATTTGATATCTCCTAAATACATGATTCTTTGCATAGCAAGGGGAGTTGCAGTGGAGTTATATATGTTATAATGATTAATTCCAGTTTTTAATAGCGTGACCAAGAACCAAGAGGTTTTGGTAACCAGTTAAAAATATCAAAAAGGGAGAGCTGGACATGGGAGGTATCAAATGTAACCAGTAGTAGTTCCTTCAGCCTTTTGGTGAACTTTTGTAATGTCATCTTCTGCTTTTCCTGTAGTATTTATCCAAGTACAACTGGAGGTATTAGCAACAGCACAAACTTCTGATTGAGCTAAAGGAAATCAAGAATTGTTCTATTATCTAATATAACTTTAGCGAGAGATTCTAAAGATTCCTGCTTAATCCTAATTTATCCAGGCTCCAAAGTTCGGCACAGGAGATTCTTCTGAATCTACTCATGCAATTTGTTGTATTAGCTGCATGAGCATCAGTCCAAAACTTAGGGAGTTTTGACTATGAAGTTAGAAAATCATTTTGCATCCCCATTTTGCGTCAGAAGGATCCCATGCAGCTTCAGAACATTTTTTTTTTTTTTTTGTAATTAGATTAAAAGTGTCTCAGGTTGAGCCAATAATCCAGGGAGATGCCATAGCCTGACATGTGTGGCCCATTTACAGGTGATGCTGGAGTTAATAGGAGTACCGGCTACATAACTATAGTACAGAAGGGGCTAACAGATCTGAATTCTTATGCCCAGATTGTGGGGATGGGTGACAGATACAACACTTGGTTAGGTTACTGGCACTAGCTACTGATTTGGCGAACCTGACAAATGCATTCTCTTTCCAAGCATTAGAAGTGTTAGGAATAAAAGAACAGGGCTTAAAGAAATCTCCATTTTGAATAAAACTACCAAAGAATAAGGCCATATGTATGAAGTAAAGCTAATAGCATAAGAATAGCTATGATTACGAGACAAAGTCCAAAAACTTCAGGCGGACTTATGAAATCTTGTTCCATGATCTTGGGCTCAGCTGTCTACCTAAGATGTGGTCTTCTGGCCACTGGGGTGTTTCAAAGTGATCTTTAGTTCCCCAGAGGGCCGACAAGTCCACAGGGGTGTTTTGGCCCTCTTTAGTTGGGACAAATGGATCCAGTTTTGACTCCTTATAATTTGGCAGCACATGGTTTGTAAGGAGAACTACATACGGTCCTTTCCAATGAGGCTCCAGGGAATCTTTTAGTTGATGTCTCTTCTAATATACATAGATCCCTGGAACAATATCAGGAAGATTTTGGGATTTTGGTTTCCAGCCATCAAAGGCTTCTTTAACGTGTCAAAAATATTCCTTAGAGTATTTGATTAAAGATGGATGATATTTCAATAATTCAAGTTGAGCAATATTAGAGTCAGTATGAGTAACATAAGGGAGGACCATTTGGTTTTGAAGAACTACTTTTTTCATCATAGTCATTTCAGTATTTATCTCTTGGAGTCTGACACTTCTGAATATATTTTAGTCAGAACTTTGACATGAGCCATAACATCTTTTAATTCATAGGCTATTTTGTAACCAACATAGTGTTATTATTTCCTGAAATAGCTGATTCTTACATTGAAAAAAAAGGGAGAAAAATGGTTTCTTATCTAGAAAATACAACACTGAATATTAGTAATATTCTCATATAAACGTTATAGTAATTACTCAGTCCTATGTATTAATTTTGGTTCTGTGCATGTCTGTATCAGCAACAACTTGAAAACCCCATCACTTCCTACATAACAGTTCTATTTAGTCTAGTGGTATCCATGTTCAAAAAATTATAGTCCTTTTTATAAATCTGATATAGACCATTTTTGTTTAAATATTTTGGTCAAGCGTTTTCAGTGGATCAGGAAGGCAAAACTTATCTGTAGATGACAAACTTAAAAATGGCTATGGTTAACTTATAATTCTTAAAAGTGAAAGGCCTAATGGGAGTTAACTACAGAAGTAATGCAAAGCCAAATAAAGCCAAAATTAAAAAAAAATTAGACCAACAATATCTCGAAACATAATAATTAATGTCATCATGAACTTCAGATATAACAAATAATAATCTTGAGATATAATACCATAGAATCAGAATATATCAAGAATATACTAAGATTTGGAGCCCTGGTGGCACAGTGTTTAACAGGTCGACTGCTAACAAAAAGGTCAGCCCTTTGAATCCACCAGCCGCTCCTTAGAAATCCTATGGGGCAGTTCTGCTCTGTCCTATAGGGTCACTATGAATCAGAATTGACTCAACAACCATGGGTAAACTTAGATTATTAAGTCTCTAAACATCTGAATACTAATAAAAATTTCATGGGTAAATGATGTGAATGCCCAAGTTAAAACCATTGGCTTTGATGATTCTAGATTCAAAGGAAACAAAGTGGTACTAAATTAACAATTGAAATAAAAAATTATGATATAATATTATGTGCCTGTTGTCTAGTATTGGTGAAAACCTAAGAGGAAATGTTAATGCATAAAATTCTTTTAACCCAAGGAAAATCAGGCACTTCTCTTAATTATGTTTCATGTAATACATAACACATCTAAATGAATAATTTTGTTTTATAAGGATCAGCACAAAGCTGGTTCCTGTGATGTGGAGGTTAAAGATGTCCCAAATGTTCAACTTTTCCAAACTTATGAACGACTCCATCATCTTTAACATCAACTTCTCCTCCTCCCCTTAATACTCTCCCTCCCATCTTTGGGTTCCATAATTCACTGCAGTATCTCACAGAAGTCATGAACCATATCAAGGAAATGGCTCATGTGGTTGTGGAGGCTGGCAGGTCCCAAATCCATGGGTCAGGCATAGGCTTTTCCTGACCCACGTGGCTGCAGGGGCTGATGAACACAAACCGGCAGGCCAGACCACAGGCTGCTGGCTCACAAGGATGTGGTAGCTGGCAAATCAGGTCAGACAATAGGCCGTTGGCCCACAGGGCTGAGGAAGCTGGTGAATCCCAGAATCAGCAGGTCAGATGGCAGGTCTCTGCTTAAGTCCCAAGAACTGGAGGTTGGACGATCACGAACCAGATGTGTGATCCAAAGTGAGAGAGAGTCCTGCTAGAGCACCCATAGATATAACTTAGATGCAGGCCACACCCCAGGGAAGGGCATGACTTGAGTACAGGTAGAACTTTAGTCACACCCTTCTGCAAGGCTGTGATTTAAGATACACCCCACACTAATCCTACCTCATTCACATGTAGAGGTTAGGATTTACAGCACACAAAATGGAGGATAATTAGGATAATTAATTCAGATCATAAAATGGAGGACAGCCATACAATACTGGGAATCGTGGCCTAGC